AGAAGATTCCTAGTATGAAGTGTAAACCAACCAAAATCTGCGATAAACCGCTCCAACTCCATAGCTTCTACAAAATGACCATCAGTTTGTGCTTCTGTGCTGCTGGTTTTACGTGGAATTGGTGCTGGAGGAGAAACTCGTTGTGGTATTGGTGGTGGAACAGCTGCTGGTATAGCACCTGGATAAATTTGAAAAAGGTTTTGAGAATACCTCGAAGAAGTAGCAGTAGAAGAGTTAAAAAGTATCTAAAATTTGCGACTTTTCTTATAAATTAATGAACTGAAAGATAAAAGATCAGCAACATCGCAAGCTTCAAAGAAGTGAACAGTCAGACTTCGAAAAATAGGCGCTACTGCTCCTTCACCACCTTCTAGACAAACCAGATCTTAACGTAGATGCAACAATGCCCTACCAGAATTTGAGAGAGGATGTCCACTATCGGCCGCAGAAGTGGAATCAGAGGCGCGACGATCTACTGCTGTGAAGGGAATCCTAGAAAATTTTGTAAAGTAAATTAGTACTATCAAGTGCTGCATCAGATTTTATGGAACACTTTGTTAGTATTAAAGTCGGACTTCAAGTGGTTTTCACCGCGCACTCAATCAGTTGTGAAGAAGACAGAAAAGTTAGCCTAAACCTCCAATTAGTATTGTGAAAACAAATATTTGACTTTTAAAACCGCGGCTTCTGCTGATGACGTGAAGTCAGTACCCAAGTTTAATGGAAAGATTCTACTGAGCGACGTATGTGACACATGTTTGTGCCCATATTGTTGAGAAGAGTTCTTGAAATTTATTTAACGAAGAATTCAGTGCTACTACAAAGCAGCAAGCAAAAAGAAACCCATTATAGTAAATAAGGCTTACCCGGCTTGTGCCATTTGAATCTGCTTCATCATATCCAAACTGGCGCTTCTTATATGACCTCTTTGAAGAGGTCTAGGTGGGGGCTGTGGTGGCGGACCGCTTGGTGATTTCAGTGCCAGTAAAGGAACAGCTGGAACAGCTGCAAGCATGGTTTTGTACTATCAATTTCCAGGTAGATTGCGCTTACTCTGCTTTACTGCTGTTGGGCGACTATCGACTAACAAAGGTGGGACATCGGAAAACTCAGCAAGGGGAGTTTCCTGCAATAAAAAGGAAGAAATAGAGGAAGAAGAAACGCAAAACGTATCAAAATAACAATTTCATAATTTCTGACCAGCTGATTGAAAATTTTGGTACTGCTGAAACTTCGCATAAAGAGGTCACCTACATACTGATCACAGATAACATATTAAATTAACATTGTAAAGCTATAGTAGAATAAGGGATCGCAATCATAAGATGCTTGAAAAGTTGCCTAATGCGATTGACTGATATGCTGATCACAAATGTAGAAAGCCGTAATCACAGACTGGTCTGACAGTCCTTCTAGAAACAATACGTTTAATTTGCATACTCAGCTGTTACAGTAGAATTATTGTAAAAACAGATTCACCGTTATAGCCTGAGCCGTTAAATAGAGGAATAGTCCTTGACCTTGCTGCAGCTTAACAACTCATGCTGGTCGGTTTGAAAAAACACA